CCCCTGGGAAGAGCAAAAAGATCACAGTGGGCTAATAGGAAGTAGGGGGTAGGGGAACTCAAGAAGCTCCTGTGAAAACTCAGGGCAGAATTGACGTCATATCTGGCTAGGATCTGACACGCAGGCAGCCAGGGACTCGACGCTCAGTGGGCTGTCCCATGGCAGCCTGTGGGGCATGTGAAGTTGCAGGCTGCTGGTGGGAAAGGCCTCCAAGTGTCCCTGACACCTGACTTCTCTGTGTCATCTCTGCTAATTGTGAATGCTTTTTGGGATAAGAAACTCCCTACTTCCAAGCCACCCATCCCTCTTTGAACATACTATTGGAGATGTCCCTCTAGGGTGAAGATACTGCCAGCATGTCTGGGGTTTCGTGCCCTGTCCTCTGGGCTTCAGAATCCCTGCTCCTCAACAAACTACTGAGCTGTTTGAAGTTGTGACTGTCCCGGCTCTTCTTTTCCCTCAATTTGACATTTGAGCATCACCCCATGGCCATGTTCCCTCATCTCTCAGTTCCTCTGGGGCTCTTGGTCTGATGGGATTTTGGGGAAGGGGACAAACAGATGGAAGAAAACTACCAACAGAAACCAAAAGCTTCCTGACTACTGCAGCCACTTCAGAGTCCCGGTCTTTCCCTTTACCTGCCCCCCTCCTCAGTGAGCCTCTAGACCCCCTTAGAGTTCTGAAAGCCCCTTTGCAGTCCTGCTATTAGAGAGGACCCTCCCATCTCCTCTCTTCCCTGTCCTCTCAGATGGAGCTTCGGTGTCTACATGGACTGATGCTGTCACCATCCCCAATAGTGACATCAGGACCTGAAGAGCTCATGGGGCAGAGCACTCCCTCGAGGTTAATGGCTACGGAGTCAGGACCAGGCCCTTGGGCAGTTCGCCTCGGGGGATACCTTAGGCTCTTTGAGGTTGGTGGCTGTATGCCTGAGACACACTGACTCAAAGAAGGCAGGCAAGTAAGTGAGGGTGGTATCGTAGCCACTACTTTTGCCACCTAGGCCAGCAGCCTGTTTTGACTCCTGGCCATTTCTGTTTGGCTGGCGGGGGGGGGGGGGGCAGAGGAGGAAGGGCTGATAGAGGGAGGCTCTTTCTAGCTTCCTCCCTGTGATACAGTTAGGGTCCACAGGAACATAGATTGACATGGCTCTTGGCCTAGCTCACTGTTCCATCGGCAAGACTCAGAAGGGCTGTGTGAGGAAAGGGCTGTTCCTGGGGCTGATGAGGCCTCGAAGGAGGCACAGATCACCTGGAAGTGACCTAAACAGAGTCTGTATTTGCTGCCCTCAGCTGGACTATCCTTGAGAATGGGGATAATGTGTATTTTGTCACCGTAGTTATTCTTAATCTAGAAGGCACACAACTTCCTCCCCTAAATGTCAGGTGTCCCACAAAGGAGGTGAAAGCTGGAACCTGTTCTGATTCACACATAGCCCTTTTGGCTGGTTTTAGAAAATAGCAGTTAAACACATGGAGTCAGCCAGATTTGGGGATGAGTCCCAATTTTGCCTATTTACCTATGTGACTTTGAGCAAATGATCTGGACTCCACACATCTGTCTGACCGAAGGGATCAACATACTTACCTCAGGGTACTGGGCAAGGAGGCCTTGATACATAGCAATTTGAGTTGTGTGGGAGATTGCAGTGCTGGGAATGGAGCACAGGTCCTTGAGCGTTCCAAGCATTGGCTCACAACATCTCCAGTGTGATAACTCTTTTCCGAGACAGAGTCTCAGGTAGCCCGGGCTGGCCTTGAACTCACTATGTCGCTGAGTATAGCCATGAATTCTTAATCCTCTTGCCTCCACCTCCTGAGTGCTGGTATTACAGGCATGTACCAACATTCCTGACCTGAGAATTGTTATTTTTGAAGTAATATTATTCCTCAGCATCCAAGAAGCTAGGAGTCAGCAGGGCATCTCCTCTCTGAGAAGCTGGGTGGGGTGGTAGCAGCTGCCTTTTCTTGCCTAGTCCCTGTGGGTTCATCATTGCTCCATGGGCTTCAAGAGCTTCAGCTGTTCTAATCCAAACAGCTCAATGAACTATCCTTGTTAAGTACCTTAATCTCCCTACTTTACAGATGGAGCAACGGAGGTTCAAGAAACCTCAGCTGCTTCCAGGCCAAAAAGGGGAAAAAAAGTAAGATTCAAACCGAAGCAGTCTGTGCCGACCTGGCGCTGTGACCTCAGCTTCCTGTGTCTTCACATTGTTTTTACAGCACTTTTATTATCTCTGCCTGGTTCATCTTGGACAAAGGGAAACACCCCCCCCCCCCCAAGCCCATGCAGAACTCTGTATCTGCAACAGACCTGGAAAGTGGCTTGAAGGAGCTGGGCTGTGTGCGCAAGGCCCCCTGGGCATCAGACATGTTTCAAATTGGAGAAAAGGTTTGTGGTGTTGCGAGGCTGCCACCAAGAGATTATTTTGCAAGTAGGAAAATGGCTGATCCCAGAGCTCTTGCATTGTATGCTGATGCCAGATCCCTGTGGGGCTTGTCTAGACAGGCTGTTAGCAGAGGTTGTCCCTTAACTCTATCCACTCGAGCCCTGCAGCTCACCCTTGGGCGGGCACTGGACCTAGGATGCACCAGGATAACTACTGCTCAGCCTCCTCCCTCCCCCAGGGTCTTCCTAAGTGCCTATGTGGACAAGGACCAGCAGCCTGCACAGTGTACATTAGTGTGCCTTCCTTCCTTCCTTCCTTCCTTCCTTCCTTCCTTCCTTCCTTCCTTCCTTCCTTCCT